TCATCCTGTATCCTCAGGGAGACCTATGGAGTCAGTTTTACTGATTTGAGACAGCCTTGGAAAGGCCTCCATCACAGGAGATGTACTGCTGCCATGTCATTAAGCTGCCACTCTACAAGGCTGCAGTATACACAAGGTCAGGGTGCAAATTTATGTTTCCGCTTAAGCAGAATGAACAGTGCCAGAGCTATCTAGGGTTTTGGGGAAATGAACCTTTTCATCACATTGATTTCCCAAAGCACCTGGAAAAAAGCTTTGTCAGCTGTGGCATTTGGGTCTGATTGTGACGGATCTACCCACAATATGGGCCTCTAGCCTGGATTGAATTCTGGTAGTTTGGTTTCCTGGGTGTATGATGTTTGAGTAATAGTCAACACTTACCTTTGAGTTTTCCAAACCTGTACACGTCTTATTCCATCAATATGTCTGGTTCCATTTGCTCTAATGCTGGCGGCTGTCTAACAAAATTGCATCAATCAAGACCATCTTTTGTTTAACTAAAAGCTGTTGCTTGAATTCAGTATTTCAGCGACTGACATTTAGATACATTTCAAATTTGAACGGTAATATGATGTTCATATATTACACAAAATGAGCTGAATACTTAAGGCTTAAATGTCACTTGAAATTATCAGTGGTCTGTATTGCATTAGGTCACTCGTTGGTATTTAAAATGGGACTTCACATCTATTGAATAGCCGACAAAGTTAAAAGGCCTTTTATAGAGTTGATCATTTCAGAGAATATCAATTGAGCTTAATTCTCAGCAGATCTAGTTGCCAAATAGATATTTAAAAAAAAACTTTCAAAAACTTCGAGCACTCCTTCTACAGCATAATGCAGTGTAAGAAATACGTGTTTTAATATCGGATGAAAATCTTTTAAGCAAAAATGATTTAAAATCAGATGAAAACACAAGTGTTAAATAAAATGATCTGTGATAAGAAATAAATGTCATACAACACCAGAATTCTGGAGTGGGGGTTTATTATGCCAAGGACTGGCAAGTCAAAACCACAGAGGTACACTTCGCTGCAGCATGCAGAACGGGGCGGTGACAGACCTTTCCGTCAGTCCCATAG